TTTATCTCTTCTTCTTCGTCTTCTCTTTTTTTTCTTTTTTTTTGTTTCTTTTTTTTTTATTCTCTCTCTCTCTCTCTCTCTCTCTCTCTCTCTCTCTCTCTCTCTTTATATATACATATATATAAAATAATAATAACTATATACACGACATTATTCTGAAGATAATTGAAATGTTAGAAAGAATCAATCAGCTGATCGTAAAATAAGACGCGCGTGAAGTAATTGCCTGTTAAGTTTTTTTTTTTCTTTTCTTTTTTTTTTTTTTTTTTTTTTTTTGTTACTTCTTCTACCTTCTTTATCGTTGAATGATTTCAATGATACTGAACGTTATCGTGATTTATACTTATCCTAAGAGATGGTCTTTTTCTTTTTTTTTTCCCCCCTTTTCTTTTTTTCTTTCTTTCTTTCTTTCTTTCTTTCTTGTTCTTTTATTTTTTTTTCTTTCTTTCTTTTCTTTCTTTCTTTCTTATTTTTTTTTTTCAAATGCGCACGTCGCACGTTGTCCCACACCAAACCAACACAGTTTATCGATCATTCTCTCTCTCTCTCTCTCTCTCTCTCTCTCTCTCTTTTTTTCTCATTCTCATTCTCTCTCTCATTCTCTCATTCTCTCTCTCTCTCTCTCTCTCTCTCTCTCTCTCTCTCTCTCTCTATTTCTCTATTTCTCTATTTCTTTTTCTCTGCAATTTCAAGCTATTGCATTATTCATCGAAAACTCCATACTTTCAACATAAAACAAAGTTTTCTCAAATGATGAAAAAACAGCGAAGAAAGCTCGAAATAAAAAATGCGATGGTTAAGTATAATATTACGAATAAAATATTAAATACGAAGGAGCTCCGGTAGACCTGTCTAGTCTTCTTAGTATCTTTTTTTTTTTTTCTTTTTTATATATATATAGATAGATAGATAGATAGATAGATAGATAGTGAACATTATGCTTGATCGCACTGTAGAGAGAGAGAGAGAGAGAGAGAGAGAGAGAGAGAGAGAGAGAGAGAGAGAGAGAGAGAGAGAGAGAGAAAGAAATGATCGTTAAAATATGTAATGTTCGGACACTCTTCGTATAATACACGCATATATATATATATATATATATATATATATATATATATATATATATATATATTTCTATTTTGTATAGAAATTGTCGGAGAGAAGGAAAGAAGAAGAAGAAGAAGAAAAAAAGAAAAGGGGGGAAGAGAAAAAAAAATCGTAAGAATATATTATCGCTCGAAGGAAAATTGTAATTTCTTTTTCTTTTCGTTTCTTTCCTTGTTTTTTTTTTTTCTTTTTTTTTTTATTTATTTTTCTTTCTTTCTTTTTTTTTCTTTTTTTTTGCTTTTGTTAAATAAGCAAAGAAAGAGAAAGAAGGGAAAAAAAAGAAATCGTGAAATAATGAACTATGCTATTGTGCTTCTTTCTTTCTTATTTTTCTTTTTCTTCTTTTCTTTCCCTTTTTTGTAATTTTTTTTTTTTTGATATATATATATATATACAAGTGTAGCATCTTAAATTATTGCTTTGAATTCATGTCTCTTGGATTGATAAAAATATTCTCTGTGAAATATTATATTATTATTAATATATATATATATATAATATATAAAGTAATATATAAATATTTGAATATAGAACGAGTGGTACAGAAGTTTATAAGTAATTTCTTTTTTCTTTTCTCTCTTCTTTTTTTTTTTGTAAATTAATTTCACGAAACTTTTTAAATTAATTTCTTTTTCCTAATAACTTTTGGCCAACCTTCTATATATTATTATATATATATATACTATATATATATATATATATATATATATATATATACTTTGATCAAATTGAAATAAAATGATTAGAATTAAACTAAGAAAGATGGACTATATGAAATGGCATTGTAAGTATATAAGAAATATATACTGACCAATATATGCAAGTACATAGATATGGATAGATATAGATATCCTATGTATATATGTAATAATAAATTCGTTGTTGAGATCATGCACGAAGAGAGTAAAATTATACTCTTCAAATATTTAAGAAAGGGAATCCCCTGGAATCAAGTTTGTCAGACAGCATGCAACACCGAATGTTCATTTAATATTTATATACGTACGTTCTAAGAACGTCATTGTATTGTTCAAACAAGTCGAATCATTCTCGATATATACATGTATATACTCGATATATACATATTATATGAAAAATAATCATATTTTTATTTATTATTTTTTAATAAATATAAATAGAAAGAAGGAGAGAGAGAGAGAGAGAGAGAGAGAGAACAAAATATAAAATTATTATTTACTGATTATATATATATATATATATATATATATATATATATAATAACTTTAATAATATTCTCTTTGTATATACACAGACACATATATTTATATTTTAAAATGTTTATCTGTGTAAGTATATATATATATATATATTTACTATAGAAAATGAATAAAAAATCAATTTTAATAACTCGCATGAAGTACAGAGACGTATGAGGCTGAGGCTTTTAACAACTATAACAGAGAAATGAACAAACGAATGAAACAAAAAGGAAATTAATACTAATAAAATCTAAAGAAAGTCAATTTATATTTTTGAAAAATCTTACTCGTGCGAATCCTTCCAATGATAATTCCATAAATTTGCCCGCGGTGATTTTAAATCGTTTTTGAGATCTGATCATTAAGAACAATAAAGATTTACTTTCATTCGGATCAAGTTCGTACCAATTACATTCATAAGCTGCTTTCTCGATAGCTATGCTCTATGAAAATAAATAAATTAATTGATTAATTAATTAATTAATATGTATATAAATAAATAAATAAATAAATAAATAAATAAAATGTGAAGAATAATAAAATCAAGAAAAGAAAAGAAGGAAAGAAAAAAAGAAAGAAAATAAGTAAATAAATAAATCAGCGATATCTCTAATCTAATATAGATTAGAGCAAAAAAGTTCCTATGGATGGATCCAAATATCTATCTGAATGATTTTTAAAAGCAATTCCTTCTTTTTTTTTTCTTCAAGACCCATTCAAATTTCAAAATGCAGCTAAATTTTTATTCTTCTTCTTTTTCTTTTTTCAAATTACAAAAATAAAATTACAAAAAACCCAGCTTGCAAAATTACTTTTTATAAAATTTATTATTATTATTATTATTATTATTATTATTATTATTATTATAATTATTATTATTATTATTATTATTATTATTATTATTATTATTATTAACAAAAATTATTTACCTTGGATCTGATAAATTCCCCAGCAAAGCAGAGAACAAAAGCCTCCAAATTCACTAGAATATAATAGGGAATTGTCCTAGCCAATATGACGGACCTTTGTTCAGAATCTAGTGACTTTTTATCAGAGAATATCTTTCAGTAATTTTTTTTTTCTATAATTTTGATTTATATATATATATATATATATATATATATATATATATATATATATATGTTTATATAGCTCACCGTGACGATTAAAAAACCCAATAATCCGATCACCAAAGTATTCGAAAGAAATTGCATCAATGCAATGTAAGAAAATATATTTTCGATATTTTCAACGAATGTAATAACCCTCTGATGACATTTAATCAACGATTCGAACGTTTTTTTACAGGACAAATGATTCTTCGCCATTTTCGATATTTCTGAAAATTTTTTACAAATTATTTCCACTTGACCGTCTACATGGAGTATCTAGAAAATGAAATTAAAAAAAAAAAAAAAAAAAAAAAAAAAGAAAAGAAATGAAACGAAACAATATAAAAATAATTTTTAAAAATCGTTTGAGGAACAATAGAAAAATAAAAAGGAAAGAAATAATATCATTGTTCTTAATAATTAATTAAGAAAAAGAATTATTCTCACCAAGGTCACGAGTAAAGCATTCGTCATACCCGACGTAGAGGCTGCTATGAATTCTTCAAGAAATTGTACAAAATTGACGAGCTCGTAAATCGGTGATATCATAACGTTAAATGGTAATTCCATTTTAAGTAACAGCTGTTTTTCTTTTGAAAATAGAGCAAACGAAAGGAAGAACGTTACCCCTAAGGAATAAGAACCAACGAAAAAGTTTGAATAACGACGTGATAATGTCACTTTTTTCATCATCGTTACAACATTTTCTTTTTCGATTAGGCACTCTTTCCAATCGTTCGTCATCATTGTTAAAATCTCTCTGAATACTCTGACAAAAGAAAAACAATCATTGATTGGATCGTATAAATTATTGATAAAACGAAAAGAAAAAAAAAAAAAGAAAAAAATAATAAATAAATATTATTAATCGAAGCATTAAAAGAGAAAATAAAAATATTCACTCAAATTGATATATATATATATATTTAATTTTTTAAAATAGATTATATCATATAAAAATGATTGAACTAAAAATTAATTAAATACATCCATAAACACGCACATACGCACACGCGCGCGTAAAAATAATAATATGAAGAAAGGTGGGATTCAATTTTGAAAGAAAAGAAAAATATATATAAGAAATAATTAAATAAAAAAATAACGATATATAACAAAACAAAAAATAATGAAAATAATAACGAATAATTAAAATAAAAATTAATTAATTATATATATATATATACATACATAAATTTTTATTTAAAAAAAATATAACGCTTACATACCTGTTCTTAATCCAAAGTATTATTAATTTAATAAATAATAAATTGTTAGATATGGTAATACTTAAACAATCCATTAAACCTGGTAAATCACTTGTACGTAAATTTTCTATTAGATAACAAAATTGAAATATTAATGTGATAGACATCGTAAATATCCAAATAATACGATGAACTATTGCGTAATTATAATCGGGCCATAATCCAATGAAACGTAAACTTAATTCGAGCAAACGATTTATCGGGCTTACAGGTAACATCGAATTTTTTTATTTATCCAATTTTCGATAATTGAAAACTTTCACTTTGAATGTGCACGTAAATATGTTAAGTATTTATTTATTTATTTATTTATTTGTTTTTAATTTTTTTTTCTTTTTTTCTTTCTTTTGTTATCACCGTCGGTAAAACAGTTTCTCGATCATATAAAAAGAAATAGAAGAAGTAGAAACTCCGATGGAAAGCAAAACGAAATAGAAGTGATACGAAATTTGTTGAATAAACGATGTCTATTCGTTTTTCCCCTCCCCCTCCCCATACACATACCACCATCGCTCCTTTCTCTCTCTCTCTCTCTTTCTCTCTCTCTCTCTCTCTCTCTCTCTCTCTTCTTATATTAAATTGATAGTTTTGCAAGCATGATTATAGTCCAACGTGAAAGAAAACCCTGTAGAGAATAAAAAAGAAAAAGAAAAAAAAAAAAAATAAAGATGTTATTATGTTGATTTAGAATTGAAAAATGGAAGACAAATAAAATAAGAAGTAAAAGAAATTGAGGAGAGAGTGAGAGAGAGAGAGGGAACCCTTCGTGGGTCGAAAATCATTCGATTTAATAATGCAAATGCATATTCATGCGTGTCACACGCAAACTCATCGCTTAGCTTAGTTCTTGTTTTTTCTTTGCTGAAGTAAGAACGTAGAGAGGAATATTTTTTGTTTCAGATAAAAATCTTACAGAAGAGAGAAAGAGAAAGAGGGGGAGAGGAGGAGGAGGAGGAGAAGGGAGGTGTGAAGGGAGGTAGGAAATCATAATTTGAATTTCGTGTTAATTAAAATTTCAACGTCGTTTTTTTTTCTTTTTTCTTTTTTTCTTTTTTTTTTTTTTTTTGATGAGTTCAACATTCACTGATTAAATTCATTGATTAAATTATAATTATATAAAAAAAAGAAAAAAAATAATAAAACAAAAGATAGAAGAAAATTTAAAAATGATATCAAATTGAATTTCGTTTTAACAAAAATTTTCAAAATCATTTTCCAGGTAAATTCAACGTTCATTAATTCTATCATAGTCGTAATTAATAATAATTTAAGAAAAATAAAAATAAGAAAAAGAAAAAAAAAAAAGAAAGAAAGAAACAAATCATCAATTATAAAAATAATAAGCATTCGTAATTTAGATTAGATTATACTCAATATTACTTAGTATAACTCAATATTACTCTGAGTATAACTCAATATTAAAATATAGTCGTGAATGATATTATTTATAATTAAAATGAATCTTTAATACATCGCATAAAGAACCGACACGTATGATCCAGATGCCTTTAACATCTGAAAATGAAAATATAATGATCAAATTATTACAATTAAAATTATTTTTATAATTGTTATAATAATTGATATGAGATATAAAATTAATGAAAAGAAACAACGAAGAAAGATAAAAGAGGAAAATAATAATTGTCAATTATCTTACGCTTGCAAATACTTCCAATGATAAATTCATAAATTTTCCAGTAGTTATGACAAATCGTTTTTGTGATCTGATCATTAAAACCAATAGAAATCGACTATCACTTGGATCCAATTCGTACCAATTCAAATGATAAGCTGCTTTCTCGATATCTGTGCTCTATATATATATATATATGTATGTATAAATAGAAAATATTTTTATTTAGTATATAAGTATATATATATATATATATATATATATATATATGACTTTTTAATATTTTTTTTATATTATATATTTTTCATATTATACAGGTTGAATAATAAAAAAAAAAAAAAAAAAAGAAGAAAAAGGAGAAAGAAAAATACTTTCTAATTGGATCAAAAGTTCTTAAAGATGATTTGAAAAATCTATCATTCTTCTTAGGCTAATTCTTTTTTGATTTTGTTTGTTAGTTTTTTCTTTCCTCTTTTTTTTTTTCTAAGCTTATTTTTCAATCTTAACTTAACTTGTAGTTTTATGATTTGAAAGGGAAAAAGAATAAAACAAAATAATAATAATAATAATAATAATAATAATAATAATAATAATAATAATATTATTATTATTATTATAATCATTATTCTTATGATCACTTTTTTATTACGTATGAACTTTCGATTCACCCTGTATACATATATATATATATATATAATTTTGTACTCACCTTAGAACTTAGATATTCACCGGCGTAACAAAGTGCAAACGCTTCGAGATTTGCTAGAACGTAATAAGGTACAGTTTTTGCTAAGATTACGTTTCTTTGATCGGAATCTAACGACTGAAAAGAAAAGGAAAAAAAGAAAAATAAAAAAAAAAATTAAAAAACAAAAAGAAATTTCTTTTGATTCTCATCGTGCCAACAAATTTCTCTCTCTCTCTCTCTCGCTCTCTCGTATAAAATTTTCTTTTCATTTCTTTCTTCTTTTGTCTTCCTTTTTTTTCTTTTTTTTCTTTTTTTTTTGTTCGTCTTCTCCTCTTTTAAACAAAGACAAGCAAAAAGTGCGCGTGATATTTTTTTTTTTTTTTTTTTTTTTTTTTTTTTTTTTTTTTTTTTTTTTTTTTTTTTAATTATATTCGTCGACATTTATTTACCGTAACTATCATAAATCCGAGGGAACAAATAACAAGTGTATTCGATAAGAATTGAATCAGTGCTATATACGTGAATATATTTTCAATATTATCCGTAAAAGCAATGATCCTTTGATGTTTGTATATCAATATTTTTAATATCTCACTATTGTATTCGCCTTTTCGAATGATCGAGGATATATCTGATAATTGACGACATATTATCTCGACTTGACCATCAACGTGTAATATCTAAAATGATTTTTTAATTGATCCATTAATGAGTAGATATTATAAGCAAAAAAATGTGTGTGTATGTGTGTGTATAATAAATTTGCATAATAAAATTATATTTATTTATATTAAATATTAAATGAAATTTATTGAGATTATAATTAAATGTCATTATAAATGAAGGAAAAATAAATTGATATTTATGAATGACGATATTTTTCATTCATTTTCTTTTAATCATTGAATTGATTAATATATATAATTTAGATTAAAATAAAGAAGAAAAAAAAATATATATATATATATAAATATATTTACAAATGCAGTATTGCATAGTTATTGCAATAATTATGCAATAAATTATGCACGATTAATAAGATGTGATTTATTATAATAAAAAAAAAAAAAAAAAAAAAAAAAACAGAAATGAAAAAACAAAATAAATAAATAAATAAATAAATAAATTTTGTTCTTATCGTATTATATACTTACCAAGGTGACAAGTAATGCACTCAACATACTTGACATCGAAGCAGCCATAAATTCTTGAATGAATTGAATTACATTGATCAATTCGTAGATCGGTGATTTCGTAGTATCGAATGGTAATTCCATTTTTAATATAAGCTGTCTTTCTTGGGTGAACAATGCGAATGATAAGAAAAAAGTAACTCCTATTGAATAAGAACTAACGAAGAAACTCGAGTAACGTTGTGACAGTGTCACCCTATTGGACATCGTTTCATGATTTTCCTTTTTATCAATGGAATCCAACCAATCATTGATCATCATTTTCAAAATATCATCGAAGACACTGTAAATAATATATGTTTGTGTGTATATATACATATATATATATATATATTAATAAAAAAAAAAATTCGAAATCCTTCCAAGGATGAGAAAAAAAAAGAGAAAAAAAGAAAATTTTTTAAATAAAAAAGAAAAACAAAAGAGGAAAAAAAAAACATTACGCTCGAATGAACATATATAAACGTCACGTTTATATCACTTACCGATTTTTCATCCAGAGTATAATTAACTTAATGAAAAACACGGTATTCGACATTGTTATACTCAAGCAATCCATAAGATCTGGCAAATCGTCGGATTTCAAATTTACAATGACGTACCAATATTGAAAGATAAGAGTTAAAGACATCGTTATTATCCATAAGAAACGATGAGCTATTACATAGGAATAATCTGGCCAGAGACCAATAAAACGAAGACTGTACTCTACCAGTCGATTTATCGGACTGACGTTAGTAGATATCATTGTCAACGTGTCCAATCAAATCGGCTATTTCTTTTCCTCCTCCTCCTCCTCCTCCCCCTCCCCCTTCGCCACCCCTCGTTCTTTCTTTCCTTTTTCCTCTGTTCTTCTTTTCTTCGCCTTTTTTTCTTTTTCTTTTTCTTTTTTTTTTCAAAGTAAAACAACGTCGGTGATAATCGTCGAATTGTCTTCAAGGATGTTGAAAAAAAAAAAAGAAAAAAAAAAGAAAAAGAAAAGAAGAAAAGAAAAAAGGGAAAAAAAAAAGACTCCTTTTTCTTTTTCTTTCTTCTTTCTTTTTTTTTTCCTTCTTTCTTTCTTTCTTTCTTTCTTTCTTTCTTTCTTTCTTTCTTGGTCCCCTATACGAACAGATATATTTATAATAAACTCAATTCTAACTCACTATGCGAAACTTCTCTTTTATTCTTCTAACAACGTAGCTTTTATTCTTTCTCTTCTATTTCTATTTCTTCTTTTCCCTTCTACTTCTTTTCTTAATATTTCCGACGTAAGAAAAAAAGGAAAGAAAGAAGAAAAAGAAGAAGAAGAAGAAGAAGAAGAAGAAGAAAAACGAATGAACGAACGAACGAACAATCGACGTTTGTAAGGAAAAGTTTGCAATATAAAATACTTGTATTCGTATACAGTAATCTGTATATCCATGTGTGTAAGCATACATGTGTGAGTGTATGTGGTTGAATGAAAATCATTCTTTATCAAGATGATTACAGGTTTTCGTGATATATATATAAAAGAAGATTTAACGGGATATCGTGATTATATGATCCCTTGTCTTCTTTTTTTTTTCCCCTTGAACATTTACATTAAACGCGAGAGAGAGAGAGAGAGAGAGAGAGAGAAAGAGAGATGAGGAAAAAAAAAAAGACAAAAGAAAAGAAATAGAAAAAAAGTAACAATGATCTCTCTCTCTCTCTCTCTCTCTCTCTCTTTGTCTCTGTCTCTGTCTCTCTCTCTCTATTCAAAGAAAGAGAGAGAGGGAGAATGAGTGATGATCGAAAGCCATTTGATTGAATTAT